TCCTGCTGAGCAGACAGAAAAATAAAATATATCTGATGTCAACACCTCAGAGTTATGGAAAACATTCAGGCATCATGGTTTAAAGAACTAAGATATAATATATCTCCCTCTATAACATATACAAGTGCACATGCATAAATACTTAAATAAAGAAAATGTTACCATGTTTAAAGCTAAAACCACGTACAAGTGCACATGCATAAATACTTAAATAAAATGTTACCATGTTTAAAGCTAAAACCACACTTCCTAAATTGTAAACATAACTAAAGGGTTATATCCCAGAACATCTCACACTGATTTAATAGAGAACTGAGAAGACTATTAATATTTTGCTTTATTGTGAATCACAGAGAACCTTACATTATTACTTTAAAAAATACTTTCAGAGAATCGTCTTTAGAAATAATTTAGTAGGAATTTAGAAAAATTGACTATAAAGAAGTAAGTGTATAGAAAAATAATACAACTCATCTCTAAATTGAGGCTTCTTTGTTTAGTAGATCTAGTAATTCAGAAGCAAAAGAAAAAAAAGGAAAAAGAAACTGAACTGTAAGATTTGTGGATTGAAATTTCCTTTTGGCATGTGTAGTTGCTTCCTTGTACTTCTTTTACTATCTTGCATTTCTTAATTTGTATTTCCCAGTCTAATCTGTGACCAACACTTTCCAGTTCACACCTATATTGCAAACAGTATCACAAACTATATCACAAACTGCAATGAAGAAAGTAATAAGGCTGCATTCTCTAAAATTAGCATTTTTCTGTATTTTTTAGTAATTGCATTTAAAAAATTTGTTGTGAGCAGAAAAATAACAAAGCCAACTGATCTGGGACACAGAAACTGAATTCATACAATTCAGCACAGTGCATGAATACTTTTTCTGTACTGATAAATCAAACCTCCCTACTTGAACAAAACAAATCAGCTGGCTTTCTGCCAAGAATTTTCTGAAGTGATTTGAAAGGGAAAGAATCTGCTCTCCACCCTAAATCATTCTGTGCCAGGGAAGATATGCAGCTGCTATTGCTACGGTCTGTGGATACTGTTGGCTCAGAAAGAAATGAGCAGGAATTGCAGCTTACATGATTGTGTTGTCAGCAAAACTGGTCTTTTAGACTATGGAAAGGACAGCGTCACTGTTGATTGATGTTTTTTTCAAAACAACTTTCTAGATATTTGCTAAATAAGGACAGGATGTACTAGGCAATGATTATATTCAATTTAAGAACTAGCAAGAAAAGCAACAGACTAAGAAAGGAATTAGGACTTTAAAGTTACAAGTCCTCAAACACCTCGCTTTTTCTATAAATAATATAATTTACATTCTTCTCTTGTTAGAAAATTAGTCTCCGCACTAGTGTATGTGTATATATATATACATACAAATATTAAAAAAATATGGTCATATATCATCTCTAACAAGATCTTATAGTGGAAGTCCACATCACAGAATCACTGCTACAAGCATCATTAACTTCCTAATGATGCCAATTTGTAGGATAGTGGAACATGAGGCAATGAGCTTGTTTTCTTGTTCTTGCTTACACCTCTCAAACAATAGGAATTCATGTTCACACTCTTAATGGCTAAGCCTATCCAGACAAATTTGTTCAATATGATTATGCTGACTACGCTCCTTTGCCTGTGTCTTCAATACGAGATGAAGAGCAGGACCAGGAAAGAGCTTCTGGTGAGCTCTGAGAGCTGTGAATCTTTCTTTCCCATCATTTGCTGTAGCTGAGGCTTGAAGCGTTTGCCGTCTGCTCACAAACAGCTGAGCAGCACTGAACTGCAGATGGACTGGGCTGTAGTGTCTGAAGCCCTTCCCATACCCAATCCCTCCTTCCTACACAAATGACAATTTGTGTCCATGTTAGGAACTGAAGATTTATAGGATGAATCACATCAGAGTGTGGTCCTAAGACTAGCTCTGGACTCACAGTCAATTGACAACAGTAGACTCTATTATTCTGTTTCTATCAATTCCAGCATGACTTTCAGGTAAACGAAAAACAATCCAATACCATATTTGGCTTACTCTGCACATTTATGGATATTAAAGCTAATATTGTGCAACTTAATTTTCTTTCACACCTGACAATATGATGCTTTCTGATTTTACTAAGTATGCTTAAATTACAGAGTATATTTAACTCTTCAACAACTCTACTAAAAACCAAACCAGCTGATTCAAAATATGCGAATGGAGTGATAGCTGGCCATCATTTGGATTTGCATCAGAATTGTGCAACTGGACAACTGGATTGCTTTACCAAAGAGTGGGGAGAAACGGTGTAATATAAATCACAGAAAAAAAGATGTGATAAATGGCAATAATATCTACCAGGCAGTTAAAACAGTTTAAATGACACAAAAACCTATTTTCAAACACATAGAAAATCATGCAATATACTGGGATAGCTCCCAAATGACAAAGAGAAAATAAGAAATGGGATTCAAGAAATAGCAAGACAAATCTCTCAAAGAATCCAGGTAAAAGTTTTCATATCAATGACACACAGCGAGTAGCATTTGACTATTTGGAATTCGTATTTATTGGGATTTTCAATAAAAAAAATTTAAAAATTCCAACCCACATAACTCAGCTGGCAGTGTTAATGCAAACATTCTGGATGTGGAACACAGTTGCTAGCAATCCCATCTTAGTGCGCAAGCCAGAAACACGAGCGCCCTATTTTCTATTAGTTTGGAGCTTCTCCAGGAGTAAGAAGAAGAAGAAAAACTAATTGCTCTGAAAGTATGCAACAGATAACTGCAATTAATATTTAAGTCACAAGCCTACTGACAGGTGCCATTTTTATAGCATAACTCATCTGTTAAAATGAAACTTTAAAGTTCTGAGTCTCTTGGAAGATATAGGCCTGAAGCATTAACTTTAAAAATGATTAAAATGTACAGCCTTGTAAGACAGTGGTTATTGCAGTATTTCTGTTTCAAATTTTTTTTTTACTCTGTCTTCGCAAATATTGTCTGCCATCAATGGTGGCTTTCACCCTTAGGCATGGTGGAATCTGTTGTCACCAGCTCTTTAAAAAGCTTGCTGGAATCTTTGTTTGCTGTCTCAGTACTGACATGTAGCAGTAGCGTAATGTAGTGAAGTTTAAGGGCGAAATACCACACAAAAGAGTATAGGTTATTTATTGTCAAGATAATAACAAGGTGAAACTAACTGTTATATTTTTGAAATGGAAGAAAACGGTCATTTCAAAACAAAGGAACTTATAACTTTGTTGTACGTGCCCCTTTTCATGCTCAGCCCAAGTTGCTGCATGTTCATCTCTGTCAACTTCAGGGCAGCCAGTGAAACCCTCACTGAGTTCTGTTGTGCAGACACAGGGATACAGGGAACTAGGCAATGCTTTTATGCATTGCTTAACAAAAATATAATCTATGGAAGTTCATTACCTGTTCTAACTTGCTAGTTATATAACAGCAAGTCAGACTGAACTTGAAAAGGAGCAGGTAGAAGTTGCAAGGTCCCTGATAAGTCAATGGCCATATTTTCTTGTTTTCCAATCTAAAACCCCTAAATATTCTTATCTCATTAGTACCGTATTGAAAATGTACATCGTGGTTTTCTTTTGTGCCATATTGTTCTCTTAAGCTTCTGTTTTGTTATGTGCACATGCATGTACACACACACACAAGTGCATCGACTACAAAATTATCTACTGAGTCACATACTGGCTAGAAACTGAGAGAGCAAACACTGGGTAAATCAATCTAGAACAAATTACAGAATGTTGCTTCACAACACTTTTTTTCCAGTGAAAACATAAAGAACAATTAAACTATTTGAAAGATTTGTAATAAAATCCACTAAAGTCAAATAAAGCAAAAGAAACTCTTTTTGCATTTTCAACTAAATTGATTTAGATCATTCTCTTCATACCATACAGCACAAGAGGTAAATGAGAGCACTCAAAAAATTACAGGCCTGATCTAAGCTCACAGAAATTCTTAATACCTACAACAATACTTCAGTCAAGTAGCTCTATACCAGTCTTGTTTACAACCTCTGACTGTATTAACCAAAAAACCCAAACAAGCTTGAGTATGGCAGAGTCTAGGGACAAAGCTGTCCCTTATCTGGAAAAAACAAGAAACAAAGACAAGGAGGACACATATTCTCTGCCCTTAGTAAGGAAATTCTAAAAATTCAAAAAGCTGAAATTACTCTTTTAAAAAGTCTCCCCCATTAACCAGAGCTTTGACAGAAATGGCTTAATGAAATATATGTATATATTTTAGCAAATACAGAATTGAGCCATTGAAGCTGTTACAAAACCAAAGTGTTTTATCTATAATCTGTTACATGAAGAGGGAGTACTAACACTATTACAAATGTGCAGAAGCCAAACCAGCCAAAATACAACAGATGAAGTTTATTTATAGCAAATATTATGACTTTCACAGATGCAGGAAAAACACAAACGAATTCCAAATTACTATAAACAA